GGGGGGCCCAAGTAGCAGAAATTCAGACTTTTGTTGTGTATGAAATTAGAAAAATTAGCGTTAGTCGCTGCAAACCCTGCACAAGGAGGGGTCATGACCCCTTGAATCACCCCCCCCCCTGAATCCGCCCTTGTGTGAGTCTGCCATTTAGCCAGCTTTTACCCAAAAAATCACTCTCAAAATTCCATAAAAATCGACTGATCGATAGCTAGTAGTTAATTCAGTATAAAAACGTCTAATGCGCCTTATTACCGCGGTTTGTGTATATTATTTGGCTATTTTGTCTACGCCGATCATCCAAACAAGACAACGTAAAACTTGTCTTTGAAATTATTGGCGTGCGAACACGCACTTTCTACAAAAAATAGTCGACAATAAACAAATTGAAATCGCACTGCAGTGAGTCACCCAAAGGGCTTGTTCTGTAAATTTTCGATATCGCATGAGTTTTTTCACAAAGATCCTCATTTTATTACAGGCAATGGACGAAATTGGTCGCCAGTTCTTTGTATCGGGTGAATTGCGTTCTATAGATGGAAAATCTAGAATAATTCTAGCCCTTAGGGAAACCGGATTAGTTTTTTTATTCGGAGTGGATTTTCATTGCGTGTAGTGTGAATTTTTTGAGGATATAGGAGGACGGAGATAATGGGGGATGTTGCGCCAGCTTGCAGAAAGCTGGTAAAAATAATTCTATAAAGCTTTTAGCTTGAACTGAGTTTACTATTCGGAAAAGCAACTGAAGTTGAAGCATTTTTTCATTTTTATTCTTTGCATTTCTGATTTCCTATAACAATGGCTTTGAATAGATTTCCTGCTGTACTAATCACATTTTGTCTTTTTTTCCAGGTGGCACGACGCAGCTTTCGGTAAGTTTGGCATTACTTTGCCCCTGGTTGCCATGCAAATGTAGAAGTTTTAGTTCCACATTGTTGAATTGTATTTTATAATATTGTTGCATTTAATATTTATTCGGCGAGGAACAACCAGGGATTTTGTGGGTTCTGGATCGGGATTTAACACATTACCTAGGTGTTTTTCTGTGGCAAACTGTTTTGAAGCGTGTAGTGAACTACACCCTAATTTAAACCATTCTTGTAAGGAATGTTCAGATTTGCAAATTTTAACATTTTCGCTCACTTTTTTCACATTAAACGGTCCGAGATTCCACAACAAACTGTTTCAATATGCAAGGGTGTTCTGCTGTGAACACTCCTTTAATTATGTTCGAAGTAAAGATTTTTCGATTAGTATTAATTCTGCCGTGAATTGGACTTTTTGCAGTCTTGAAAAGTAATAATAGTCCAGAATCCAGACTAAAGAGCCTAAAGGTAGGTGGAATTGTTTTATCTTGTGATGCGCCTTACGAGGCTGCAAGTGATCCTGGCCTTTCATTTCGATTTCGAAATTTTTGCAAATTCCACATTGTAAACCAACCATTTATTTATGCAAAAGATTCGTGCCAGGGCACTTCGGCGGTCAGGATCCGGACGCAATTTTGTTTTGCAGAAGTAGATGGCAACCAGGGTGGTAGTTTTTCATTGATATCATTTATGCTGCTCGCATGTGCAGATTTGAGGATTTTACATAGCGAATTTCCACTTCGCTTTATGCGGATTTGTGGAAATGGTGGCGCGCTTATTTTCGAATATTTCGCAAATTGTGGTTCTATTGATATTTCTGGCAAATTAAAAAATTATTCGCGGAGCATACAAAAGTTATGAAGTGTATGAGAGAGAATAATGATCTCTTCAAATGCGGTTGCGAAAGACTGACGGTGGCAAAAACATATGTGGAAACCATTAAGGGCTTGATGCGCTCATCACCGTTGAACGAAGCTGTTTAAACTGCAAACCAATTTTATTCAAATCGTTACAGAAAAGCAGATTTTATTCCCACTAGTCGAATTTAACTGCAATAAACCTTTACATAATCAATTTCTCCTTTCGTATGCATTTTTTTTCAATGGAAGAAGCAGGAAACCAAGTTTTCATCTTGCCTCGCTTTTCTGAGACACTCTGTATCATATAAGATATTTTTAAAATGTGCGCACTTTGTGCGTCAACAACTTTTATATGAAACTATTTTTCGAAAGTTCAACACCATCGGAAATAATGGACTCTATCGCACTACAAAATCACCCTGTATATGAACGTCCGACAATAAACTTCGAAACAAAAGTGGGTGTAAAGAGATTGACGCAAACATTTGAAGATGTATCTTTTTTCGTTTATTTAAATTTTAGTTGAGTATTTTCATACTCTTTACGAAGTTAAATTTTAATGCATTTTGTGTTACTATTATCGTTTCGGCCCTTGATAAACACATGCATAAATGTGGCATTTTTGGAAAATGCACGAACTTTCAAGGCAACTCTTTCAAATATGGGGAGATTAAAAAAATTCCAAAACTCCAAAACATGATAAGAAAAATGTTTTATTACGAAGTTAAGAATACAGTGGACAATAACAATACGAATTACGTTATATTGTAATACTACAATAGATTGATGCGTAAATGAAGCGATTTAAATAACTTTCACGCACATTCGTATATAAAAAATATATTGAAGTAACTAAACCTAATGTATATGATTATATATATTCACAGATATTCGCTTAATTCCAAAAGTTTTTCTTTGAAAGCAAATATAGTATTTTTAAGAATTAAATGAAAGAAACAAAATGAGCATTGGGTGATAACTGACTAGTCGAACGAGCCCCCTAATTAGATTTAACGGGATCAGACATTCTGACAAATGATGTAATAAGTAATTTCAAGGCACAGCGTTTATGTACGAGAAAGTGGGAAGTTTAGCAAACGCTAGAAACGGCTAATCTTGATAAAACAGGTCATCCATCGCTCATTTAAACTCAAAAATGGACCATTCGTTGCTAAACTTCCTACTTGTAATTCTAAAGATTCAATTTACTGGGAGTCGTCAAAATAGTCAATTGTTAGTTTTTTAAATTTATACACACCTTTGAGATCACCTTTTGTTGTTTTGCGACAAAAACATCCCCTTGAATGAGACAAATGGTGATGGGGCTGTACACAAGTCGGAGAAAATTTGTTCTGTTGCCATTACGTATTTACTATCAACGGGGACATTTACTGTCGAAGTCTTGAAATAAACTTAACACACATTTGAACACAACCATAGAATATTCTACGCTTAACTACGAATTTATCGTTTGAGAAAACGGACTGGACCAATCGTCTGAATCCATTTTCGTAAACGTTAAATAGTCGGGTCTTTTATATTTAGCTAAAAATGTCTACAAATATATTTAAAAAATATTATAGCAATATTATACTCGGTAGATTAAAACAGTTCAACAGATCATGAACTATACAGGGTGCTCATTTTATATGGTGATAAAATACCAATATCGTTAGATTTATAAAGATAGGCCACATCTCAGAAGATACTTTAAATAAATTGATTTTGGATGTCCCAGATTTAAATCGGATAATGATTTTGCTTTATCCCAATGTTAGTTACTTAAGTAACTTAAAAAGCTATGCTATGTATAAACCTGGAACACTCTGTTTGAAGATAGTATCTGATTCTTTAACTAAAACTACGTAATTAGAATTTCTCCGTTAAACCTTACTCCTAAATGCGCACAGTGAACCAATAGAACCTACATATCCAATATCGACAGTCGTTTTTTCTTGGGTGCTGTAGAAACTCATTTCAATGAGGAAAACACAAAAACACTAGATTTTTCCATATTCGATTCAATAAACACAATCCCAAGTGCATTTTTTTAGGCCAATTGGCCAACCGTTGCCATTCTTTTGGTCCACTTATACTTAAAAAACGAGAAATTTTAAAATACGGAAATCGCACGATCCGTAAACCAAATAACCATTGTCCCAATATGCCACAGAAGCCGTCCAAATAAAATGTATATTTATTTACTTGAATCAATCGCTCTGATATGTTTGTTGTCGCATAAAATAAAATAAAAAGAAGTGAAATACCATCTTCAAACCTATTTCAGTGGCCTTATGCTCGTTTGAGTGCAATCCAAATAAAATTGAACTACTTATTTCCTACGCATACTTCTCATGGACACAATTACATTTAAATATCTATCTAAAGTTCCATTACGAGTTGAAACATCGCCATACCCGCTTTGTTATGTAATTAGTGAGGTCGAGACTTACCTAACTTACTAGCGGTTAAAGAGAGTACGTACGCAAATAAGCACTATTGAAATCTTATGGCAAATATTGCTTTTTTGAAGATACCGCTCGATTCATTTAAATCAACTGTCGGAGAATCCGTTCTTACCATCTCTATTTGATCGAAAGGCATTGTTTCTCAAACCTGTTCCGCTTGGTCCTTCCAGTCGTACGAGCCTCGAGGGAAGTCTTGGGTCAATTTCGGGTTGTTCTTCGCCACTGTTTGGCTTCCTTCCAGCTCCCAGTCTAACAGTTTCATTGGATAGGTTCGGTAATCTGTAAATGCCTAAATTATCCGTAGATAAAGGGACCTGCACCGGGTGCAGTCTAGAAGCAATCAGTGACTGAGGTAAATCCTGTAGAATTTGATGAGAATTGGTTGCATTAACTACAGCGCCAGCTTCTTCAGTTAAAACGTGAGGAGGTAAAATGTATCCGCCTTCGTGTCTAATTGCCAAAGGATGCCCCTGCGGAGCCAACAGGCATGGAAGATTGTATCCACCAGTTGAATGATCGATGTCCGGCAAAAATCTGCTCGGCATATTTAAGGCCGGCAAAGATATCCGCACTGCTGGGGGAGGCGGACAATTCTCAAAAGTGACCGGAACCATAACGGTAGGCGTCGGCTCGTTACTTTCAACCACATGTTGAAACACATTTGGACTGCTCGTTACTGAGATCATTTGGCCACTGTCTGGCAGCATTGAGTGCAAATTGTTGTCTCCGAGAGAATGTTCAAGATCTGAATACGCAGTCAGAACAACTGGACGAAGAGTGGGCGTTGAGGGCATGTTAGAATCTAGATTTTCGGAGTCGGTAAGAGACAGCCGGCGAAACGTACAACTAGTTTGCGACACGATATCAGGCCTTTGTCATTTAGAGTTCGCTTGAAGTGCTTGGTTGATTTGTTGCCAGAGATCCTTTTTGCATGATTTTGATCTGAAACAACGATATAAGTTTAGTCGATTAAATTTAAACGCGATAAACCAGACAATAGGGACTACTAATTAGGCCTGGGTAACACTGTGTTGAGTTGCGCTTTTGAGTTCTTGCCGCTCTCTGAGTTAATGAGTTTTAACTCATTGGTTAATGAGTTATAACTTATAGCCGATGACGGAGTTTTAACATCTAATAAACAAGCCATCAACATATTGCTTTTGTGGATACGATTGCTTGAGACTATTTGGTCTAAAACGGGAAAATCCGGAAATTTTGAAGAAAATTAAGAAAATTTTAGAGCAATGTGGGTGATGAGTTTTCCAAATATTAATTAAATGCTTTTGCTTTCTCTGGTCGTTGTTTGAGAAAACCTAAATTTTACCGAAAAAAACACAAGATAACTTTGTTTCGATTTTGTCCCAAATTCAAAGGTAAAATGGGTATTCAAAAAAGGCGATAAAGACGACGAAACTGTAAAGACGACGACTTTTCTAGTAAAAAAACGCGTTGTTCTGTTTAGAGAAAGTTTTGTTTAGAAATATTGACCTAAAAGTGAAAAAACCGCAATTTGAATAAACCAAATTATTCACAGCGACAAAACTGACCAAGAGTTTTCCGAATAATTGATTATAAACTTTCACTTGTTCTGTTCGGGGAAATATTTTTGGAAAAAAAATTTCAAAAGCTGTTTAGGAGCCGAGTGTTCCAATAAAATGTATTTTATAACTTTCACAGAAAATATTTGATGATTGTCAGTATTTTAAGTAAAACTGAAAATAATACGTTTTTGCCTAGAAAGAATTGCTTAATAGAAACTTTGCTAAAACTGGAATGACCTGAAATTTAAAAGAAACTTGAAAAATCTTTAGAGGGATGAGGGTGGCAAATTTTCCAAATATTTTTTTACTCTGGCGGTTTTTTCAAGATAATCTTAATTACTTTCGGTAAAAAACTGAATAAAATTATTTGGTTTTTGTGCCAAATTCGAAGCTGAAAATGGTTTTCTAAAGTTCCCTGCAAACTGCTGAATGAGGCGAATTTTCTAGCAAAATTAATTTTGCCATTTTTGGCTGAAAAGAAGCCCATTAGTATTGTCAGAAAACAAGAAAATCATCAGAAAATAACGTTTTTTGCGTTTTCGATTAAAAACGTTTAGTTTTGTGTTCGGTTTTGGAGAAAACCTTAACGGTTTTCGGGAAAAACCCGGAGAGATTTATTTTCGTTTTTGTCCCGAATTCGACGTTGAAAAAAGTGTTTGTCCTACAAAGCTATAGATTTATCTTCTATTTTTTTGCGTAAAAGACCTCCAGATCGTCAGTATTTTTAAGTTAAACTCTACAAAATAGAGCGTTTTTGAGTGAAAAGGGAAGCAAAAAAAAATGGTTTTCGCTTATTCAGTTAGTTTTTTGATGGAAAATGATGAATTGATTTTAGTCCAAAATTCGAAGCTGGAAAGGGATTTCAAAACTTTTTACAAAGCGACGAAGGAGGCAAGTGTTCTAATAAAATTTATTTCATAATTTTTTGCGAAAAATATCTTAGGATTGTCAGTATTTTTAAGTGAATCTTTAGATAATTGAACATTTTGAAAAAAGAGTAATTTTGCTAAAACTGGAAAATTCTGAAATTTTGAAGAAATGTTAAAAATATTATTGATAAATGGCCCTTAAAATAAACATAAAAATAAGTGAAAAAGTTATCAACATTTTTCTAGCAACGAAACTGAGTTACTGCGCCGGTGCGTCGGGTTGGCGCACCAAGCCTTTTGCGCTGCACTGCGCCAACTCCTAAAAATGTATTGAGTTACCCAGGCCTACTACTAATCGAACACTTTGCTGCCCATATGAAACTTAACTCGATAGCTAGCAAGATTTGGCTGTTTTCTGAAGATTTTACAGTGTTTTGATTTTTTCCCTGGTAGATGAGGAGCTCGTTAATTTGATTTGATACGAGATTCTAAGCATTCAATTGGTTACGGGAGATTCTAAGCATTCAATTGGTTACGGAACCGCATTAGTAATTTTTTGATGCGTTTGTCTGTAAAAAGTCAAACGATTTCGGATAACAATGTCGAGCAGGTAGAAAGTTTACCTTCGCTAGGAAACTCTAAATCGGTCAATGTAATTTTGTGATGCGTTTTGTGTGTCTAGATAATAGACACACAAAATCGCGGTTATCTATGTTTCACCTTCCTTGGGGAGACTCTAAATCGTCGTGATCTGGTCGAATAAGTTGGATTATTATACAAATTATTGTTTTAGTTGGGACAAGTAGAAGCAAAAGTTGGAGTACAGTTTGGTTTTTTAAACATTTGCAGTTTTAAAGCCGAAGTACACAGAGCTATAGATTGGAGTTTAGTCAAAAGTCCGACAATTTTTCCTCTAAATTGCAACTTCTGAAAGAGTTTTTTCTTGTCAATAGTGCGAAAATTCACTCGCTAATCGTTCGCATGACAACGTGAGGCGATGATCTTAAAGTGGCGGTTTTGTTTTATTGGAGGGGCATTAATTAAGGAAAAAAGGTCTTCCTCACGGGAAGCCAAAAACCCCTTTTGCTTCGAGCTTTAATTTTGATACCTGTCAGCAGTGGCGTTAACCGCCGGCAGTCTCAACTAGATGACCACGACTGTCTGCATTTGGCAGGCAATGTTCGTTTGTGGTCACGTACTGTCAGGGACAAAATACTCATAGAATAGAAAAGTCGCTTATACAGCAATTTTGAGAGCTTTTTTCTGAATGGTCCCAAAATCAACGCTTTCGCTCAATTCGTCTCATTATAAGAATTTTTGGAAACAACGGCTGCAGTCGAAGCATAAGTCGACTAACAGTTCTTTTTCCATAGTTTCCAATTTGAGCGAAATTCGCGCAATTTTTGCCTTCAAATGCAACTTCACAAGGAGTTAAAACACAGTTTTTCTGAATTTTGAGTTTTTTTTTCTGAATGGTCCTGAAATCAACGCTTTCGCTCAATTCGTATCTTTATAAGAAATTTTTGAAACAGCGGTTGCAGTGGAAGCATAAGTCGACTAACAGCTCTTTTTCCATAGGTTTCAATTTGAGCAAAATTTGCGCAATTTTTGGCTTCAAACGCAACTTCACAAGGAGTTTTTTCGTCTGAATCGTCCCGAAATCAACGCTTTAGCTCAATTTGTCTCCTTATAAGAAATTTTTGAAACAACGGTTGCAGTCAAAGCATAAGTCGAATCACACAGCTCTTTATCTATAGCTTCCAATTCGGGCAAAATTCGCACAATTTTTTTTTTTAAATGCAACTTCTCAAGAAGTTAGAACACAGTTTTCCTTCACAATAATACTAAAATCCTAAACTCGCTAGCTCAGTTCATTACCATGTAATTCGTTTTTGAAACAATACTTGCAGTCCTCATCAGTCCAAACAGACCAACGTTTTCCATAGTTTAAAGTTCCGTCAAAAGTCGTACAATTTTTCAACTAAAATGTAACTTTTCAAGGAGTTACACCGCAGATTTTCCATCTCAATGGTGTGAAAATCAACGCTCTAGCTCTACTCTTTCCCTTATGATGAAGTATTACAATTTAGGCAAAACATTTACAATTTTGATTCCAATCACACAGCTTTTCATCCATAGTTATTAACATAAAGAACATAAACTTACCTCCTTATCGAAGTTAACCATTCCTTAAACTGTACGTTCCCTTCCGGAGTGATGTGGAAGGCCGCTCTTGCCGCAAGAACAATGCTGATGAAATCTTCATAGTCTGTAGTTGTTAAGTGGTATAGCTTTTGGTGCATGCACTGGAACAGAAAATTATTGTCATGGAATAACTTTCAAAATACGTTTCAGTGTATAAAATGACACAAAAATTACTGGTCGCAATGTGGGCAGCTGCTCAAGATGCTTTTTTGATATTATGATCGTGAAAAACCAGCCCATGTAAAGGAATTCTGCTTTACTACAAAATACTCCCACTGTCCTTCTTATACTTGCATTTAAAATTTCGCTTTAAAAATCCGGGATAATGAGAAACTGATTGATTGGTGAATTTTACCTGTATATACATTTGTTGACACTTGCTAACCAACGGCAATAAGGCAGTGCGTAAATGTTGCATCACTAATCCCGGATTATTCCGAGACAAATGTTGAGCGGCCTCGATGGCAACATCATGCAGCACAAAAGGACTTACAATCGAATTCAATGCACACACACAGAAGTGGTGAAGATGATGAGTGCCTGAAATTAACAAGTAATAAGCGATAACACAAAGAACTGTTTGAAACAAACAAAAAATCTACACATACTCAAATTCTTGGATATTCGAAGCAACCATTTTACATCTTCTCCATATGGAGGATTCCGGGCATATTTGGCTTGCGGCCTATCATCGTGAACTCGGCGTGCCAAAGTGTCCAAAGCCAACATACCCACTCTATATGCATTCAGCAAATAGCGCAGCTGCGTTTGATTCAGCTGCGGAGGTCGATGTGGTCGGACAAACGGTTGGGCTGCTATTCCTTTAATAACAAATAAATTACAAAAAATAAGATTGTGGTTCAAAATTCGGTTGCTTAATATTCACTGCCTATTCTCCAAGCTGAAGTTAAACAAAAGCCCTTCAATCACGAGGTTTATAGATTCGATGTTGTTCAGGGTTCAGCATTATTCAAATATTGAATGCTACTCGGAGTTCGCATGGCAAATAATCCCGGAATACGGTATGGCTTTAGACTAAACTATTCTGATGTTGGTTTATATTATTTCTTTTAATGAATCCGCACCTAAAATGTGCGAAGCATTCTTCTAGGGTTTTTGCGCATGTAATTTCGAATACTTTGCTCTAGTTTTAATCATTCTAGAACCTTTCACTACAAACAATTACAACTCATTGTGCCATATCTTCAAAAATTTGTAACTCCCAAACCAACAAATTTAGCTAAATGAAACTTTCGCACTCCTTAGAAGACACTTCACTCTACACGCTGCAGGAGTTAGAGAAACAAATTCAACCGTCATCCTGATTTTTCCCCCATAGTCTATGTAGGTTTCATCCGTTTTGTGTCAACTGCTTCAAAAAGTTCCTAACTGCAGAGTTCGAATCAAAATGAACGTTGGGACCGTTTAGAAGACACTCTACTCGCAACAGTTCAGGAGTTTAAAAAATCAGTAGTTTAGTCCTGATTTTTCACCACAAATCAATCTGTTGAAACCAGGAATATTTCCTAAACGGACGGAAATAAAAGTCTGTAAATGCTCTTAAACCTGCCAAATCGTACCCATATAAAGCGTTAGAAGCTTCGAGTTCACCAAGCATTTTTCTTTGGCCTAGGAAACAGAAATATTTGTTTCGTGAATCAATTTTTTGAAGACAAGCATATTTCCTAAACAGAACGAAATGAAAGTCTGCGAATGCTTTTAAACCTCTGAAATCGTGTAAATATTATATAAAAGAACAATTTTAAGTGCGGATTTTTTAATAAAAAATCTTTATACAGGGTGATTCACAACCTTATGAACACAGAGCGGGGCATGTGGAGAACCTCAAAACAAATCGAGTTTCCATTTAGGTTTTTTTCTCAGGCCCATGGTTAACAAGATACAGGGTGTTAAAGTTCCAAAAAATGTTTGGTATTTTCTTTTTAACTCCTACAGTTTATGAGATATTTTGCTCAAATTTTTAACGTAAGCTAATATTTTGAACCTTTACCCGTAGGTAGGCCGACTGGTTGTGAAAATCTACAGGGTGTTCTTTTTTCTAGAGGCGTACCCCCGTTTACGGCCCCGAACTTTTTTGTTTTGCGCCACTTGACTGACTAACTTTAAAATTTAATTTTTTCACTTTAATTTAATTTACAATAATTAAGTTTTACCGGCTGTAAGCTAATCCAAATAAAAATACACAAAAATGTAACGAATATTTCAACTTATTATGAAATTAATTTTTTTCACAAAAAAATGTGAACAAAAGGACGCAAAAAAAATTAAAAGAACATTAATGAAAAATCATCCAGGATCCCTACGTGGACTTATATTTATGCAAATAATTCTAAAACTAAGACAGATACGAAAAAAAATGCAAGAGTTCAGAAAATTCTTAAACTGAACAGCAAATGCACAAATGTGTTCGGTCGAAGGCAGTGGCGCACCAGGAAAAAGTTTTGGGGGGGTAAAAGGGGGTATGCCTCTAGAAAAAATAACACCCTGTATATTTTCACAACCAGTCGCCTTACCTACGGGTAAAGGGTCTAAACATAAGCCGACGTTGCAACTTGAGCAAAATATCTCATAAACTGTAGGAGTTAAACAGAAAATACCAACATTTTTTTTAAACTTTAACATCCTGTTTCCCGTTAACCATGCACCTGAGAAAAAAAAACTTAAATGGAAACTCGACTTGTTTTGAGGTCCTCTATACGTCCCTGCTCTGTGTCCATAAGGTTGTGAATCACCCTGTATACAGAGTGATTTATAATTGAGATACGACAGTCAAGTTGTCAATGGCGTTGATGTTTTGAAATAGAAAAGCTCCAGTTTTTGCATAATTTATCGCCTAAAAACGCCACAGGCAGAATCGCAAAGCGCAAATAAAATACCTTGAAGATCGGGGCAAGAAGTCGAAACAAGACACTCAGTTTTCCTCAAATATCGCCCAAAATTAGCATTAAAAAGTGTCTCTCTCTCTAAATGCATGCTTTCAAAGATTTCGTGTTGCTTATTTTAACAGAATTATTGGTGATATTCGAAGTGAATTCCAACTTTGAGCTTCGAACGAAACGATGTCGCTCTTTGCAAGTGGTAAAAAATCGCAAAAATTCTCTATATAATTTGCATAACTGCATAGTCAATTTGCTGATGGGAACCACCGTTACTTGTTGGACTTTTCATAAAACTTAGCTGTGAACACATGCACAAAATATGTGATTAAAAATACCTGGTATCGGCTGCGGATACATATGTGGTGGAAGAGGTCTGGCAGCCTGAGAAGCCGCAGGTCCAAAATATTGTAAATGTGGGACGGTGGTGGGCGCAGCAGCACCCGTAGGTGGTGGACTGGAATAAACAGCGGCCTGCGGTTGCTGAAGTTGATTGGAAACCGTAGGCGTCACAAATTGTGAGGGCGGATGACTGTGAGCCACATATTGAGACGTCGATTGCAGCGTGTACGGCGACGTTACTGGTGGCGTGTTGGCAAAAGGAGACTGCAATAAATAGTCGATCAGATAAACCATGTTAAATAAGCGCTAAGCTAACAATCCAACCTGTTGACTCGTTGGAGGTGGCGGTAGAGCTGCATATCCGGGCGGTCCCAACGGTGGCGGAAAAGGTGGTATTGTCTGTGTGCCTGGTGGAGGTGGAGGATATGGGAACTGGTACTGAACATGTACATGTTGTGCTGTTGGCCCCATCGGTTGTAGAGGACCTAGAAAATATCGAGTATAAATACTGAGCGGAAAGAATAAACCGAGTTTAATCAATAATGAAGCTTCATAGTGTCCGTCAAAAAAAAAACACGCCTTTTACAGAGTTATTATATTACACTCCAAAATTATGAAGACTCATGAAAGCAACAATTTTTAGCGCCTGCTGATGAGCGGAAATGCACTTAATTGATCAAATATTGCCTTGAGGCTTCGATTTTTTGGAGGGTTCCAAACAAACCCTTAAAATCGTGCGGTTTTAGAACGGCGTGACAAAACATACACGCATTGCGTGCTTGTCTCACCTTACGCTTCCAGTCAACAAGTGAAAACTGGAAAGGGACAGAACCTGATAATATTTCTTCACTTACAAGTTAAGACCAATTAATCTCAGAATATTTTAAAGTGTTGCAATTGTAATGTATTTTAGTGTGTGATATAACAAGCTATTGACAAACTGTTATTGTTTTTTAGATTAATGAGAACATTTAAAATTTTTTTTTTTACTACCTGTTATTTTAGTAAAACTGATGATGGTGGAAAACACCGAAACGTTTTTTTAAATTGATAAATGAACAATAAATGTCTGAAGAACCCAGGATTTGATTTTAATTTCACTTACAATGTTTGATACACATTCTCATCTTACAAAAAGCGCATTAAATGAAAATTCGAAAATTTCGGCTTGTAAATTTGTTCTCGTCCATGTCCTGATCGTTCAGAAGCTTTTTCCTTTACAATTCCTTTCTCAAGCGCGTCATCGAATTAGATAAGATCGAGGATATTTATCTTTCAATAAGGAAACGAACAGGGAAAATTCCATAAAAAGCTGTTGAGTGGAATTCGAACTTACTGTTCTAGATTCTTTTTTCGTTTCGATTAAGTGTAAATTTCGGTTATACGGAATTAGTTCAATGTTGACGCGTTTGTTTTACAATCAAGCCTAAGCTTCCATTGTACAACCGGCTGTGCACCGGACAAATTTCCAGAATTATATGAATTTATTGGTGGCCGTTACACAGTTTTGCGTGTCGTAAAGTCTATTTTCGTGAGACTAAATATAAAACATTTACTAACCGCCAAAAGCTCCTGCAGTCGCCCCTGGATGAGCTGGTACAAAGTTGTAGTGACTCACATACATTCCGACCGGAGGTGCTCCATGCTAAAATATATAAAAACATTATATTTAACTGGATTATTATAAGCAAACACGGCAAAACATTTAAATTACAGTTTACGTAAACTGCTCGCCAAACATTGCCCAAATTTTCGCATTCTTTGACCATTTTTTTATGGCTTCAACTCCGAACGAGTGTCTGTTGATTTGGCGATTTAATCACGTTTTCTTTATTAAAATGAATACTTTTAGACAAATCGCCTGAACGACTAAAAAAATGTAATATCTGACGACTGTACATATTTAAGATTTTTGAACATGCAGAAAGTTGATAAAGAATACGTTTTTCCGCAAAATTAATAATGAAAAGTTTCCCATATGTTGTCAACTTAAGTATACACACTGTGAACATTGCTTTGATAACTTGCTTCAAAAAGTAAATGCAATTAAAGTTAATTAGACATTATTTATTGGTTTCCAAAGAAAAATAGTTTCAGCCAATTGAATTATTCGAACTTTGATACTTTGTAAAAAACACACCTTAGCAAGTAATGAAATAAGAAAAACAGGTGACGATAGAAGAACATTGCTATCTCCAACAGTTGCTGCGATGTTCATTTTCAATTAATTTTAGCAAATTGTCGAACGCAAAATGAAAAAAAAGGCACATTTACTTACTTAGTTGCTTGCTTATTTTTGTCCGTGTGGACACTAAAAAACTATTTCATACCAATGGGACACCCTGTACACCCCAATAGCATAAATGTTGCAGGCTAAAAAACCTTATTGAGGATTCTATCCATCTTGCGCCTTTTCGCGAATTTTCAAACATATTTCTTACGTCTACTTAACAAAATGGAAAATGATCTCTGAACTTACCGGATAAAGGGGAGGAGCAGTTGTAACTACAACAGGCGTAGCAGTAACAGGGACATCCGGTCCTACAGGTTGCTCTAAACCAGAAAACACATTAACATGCAAATGGGGTAAAAGCGGAAGGCGTCTTACCAATCAAAGCTACCAATTGTGTATGGGGATCAATAAGGCAATCGGTCATCGGCACTTCAATGTCGATAAGCTGTTCACCGCCCGGAGTATACCGCACATATAGCTCAAACCAATATTTCGCAACCTTAAACATAACAATTGCAATTAACAAAAAATAGAATGGCCGTCTTGAATAATCCTCATTACCTGAAACAAAACTTCCGGATATACACCGCCCCCCTTTGCAGCAGTCTCGACCGTTAGACAAGCGTGCTCCAGCATATCGTCGCTCTGCTCTTTGCATTGAAGAATAGCTCTTTGAATCTCGTTCGGATTTAGAGCATGGGAATGAGGCAGCACCGATAGAGCTAAATTTGCTGCCGCATTTACCTACAAACAAATCTCTAATTAAACGACCACATTCTCAAACCCGTTTGTAAGCCCACCATGTTAGTATCGCACCCTCTAGACGCTCTGTCCGCAATACTTGCAGCTTCTGGCGGCGTTAAATGACCCTCCCATGTATCAATCAAGAAACAGATTGCAGCAGCTCCAATTTCCATTGCTTGACCTGAACACAAAATACTTTATTCTATCTAAAATTTCAATCCCCGCACGGATTCTTACCTGTAATCCATGACACATGCGAGCTGTATGTTCGACTAAGCCAATTGGGGCTCACGCAATTATGCAGACCTAATGCGTATAACCCCATTTGGAAAGCGCACATATGAAGCCCCCTGTGGGGTCCGTGATGAGTTTGAGTTGTCGATGGCTGTGTAAACAACGACGTGCTGCTGCTTCCGCCTGAACAAAATCATTTTTTTCGCATTTTATTCATATTGGTTTGCGTTTTTCCTGTTCAATAGCGCGTTCAATCTAATAAAAACGCACCTGCTTTGTTGAGAACCGTTTTGGCTAATTCAAACATAAAATGAGCCCCAGCTTCAGAAGGTTGATTGGGTATGGACGGATACGCTCTTTTCTTATACCTGCAAAGTAATGCGATGCAGAAAACATTGGGAAAGTATCAATCCTCATTACCGTCCATCCTTGGTTCTTGAGTTGACACCTTGACCGAGGGCATTTATGGAAGTTCCGACTGATAAAGCGCCCATTCCCTGCTCGACCTCAGCACTGGTAGAACTGTGCGGTCTACTTCCGGTGTCTGATACATAAAAAAACATTGGAATATTTTTTTTGGGAGGGGGGGGGTTGGTGATTTAAACGTAGAACTCACTGCATTCTGTAGCAATACCTTCCGCGCCCGGAATAAATGGACTAGTCGGCATTGCAGAACTCTCGCCTTCTCGTTCCTTCATGTGATGAATGGGTGGATTGTTGGTGTAATATGGGCTGATCAGTGGTGTTTTAATTAATTGATGCACTTCTTTGTCCAGCAATTTTTCCATGATTCTAAAACATTTCATTTATATACGCGTCAGATCCATAGGCAAATAGTTTCCTGAGGAAGGCGCTTATTTTAACCATGTTCGGCTAAAAAAAGCCCTATGGTTGATAACACAAAAATGCTTCCTGTGAAGTTTTCGAATGAATTAATTACATCATTTGGGGCATCAGCGTGTAAGATAATAATAAAATCGCACAAGCACTCACCTGCAAATTTTGTAACTATCATCCTTGTAGAACGTTAGAAGAGCAATCGCTAATTCTCCCCTTTGCCGTCTGGTGCCTTCACACAATAGCGGATGGTCGGCTTCGGACACATTTGCCTTTAAACCCAGGGCAACAACCGCAGCTTCGTATGCCAGTGATTCGTCAGTTGGCAGTCTTAAAACAATCTTTGATCTGTCCCTGCCTATAAATGCCACAAAACGTTTAAAATGAAAATAAAATGGTTAATGTTCTGTATACTGTATACATACCGACTATAGATGGAATAACCAAAGCATCGAAAATGAAACTAGCTAACATGATTGGAAGCATGGCCTCCCCTCTGGACTTTATGGTGCCATCTGAAAACATATCTTTTACAATACACGTATTTTATTAAGTGTTTATACGTGCCATAAGTACCTTTGATTTCCTGAGCTCGAGTTCGAAGAATCTGCAATTCCCTGGGGCCTAGAGGCAGTTTTTTCAACAGATTCACCAGATCCGTTTCCTGATTAGCCAATTTCACCTCAAGGGGCTTGGTGCTGGCTGGTGGTCGCGCCATCTCTAAACCAAACATTCCCACCCTGAAGGCCAAATGGAAGTGTTCGGGATTCTCAGACAGGACGGAACACAGAAAAGCCCCTTTCGATAAAGTGCCGGAAGCCAATACGCTCAACTGGTGCGTGGCCGGGTTCAGTTGCGGTTTTTTACCCTTCTTTTTCGGAACTTGAGGAACTTCTATCATTAAATCGGGGGGATTTGCCAACAGTTCCTCAGCCAGCTTAACACCTGGAAAACGAACAAAGCGCATTAAAACCCCCCAGACGATTAGCTGGAAATTATCCACCTAAGATACAGGCTTCTCGGTTATGGCCATGAGCATGCAAACCCTCCGCCCGAGCAAATAAAACGTCCCACGGATCATTGCACTTTCGAATTTCCGAAAACACATCGAATCTGCTGTCTGAGTTATCCAAACTTTGACTTATAGCCAGTTGGTTATCGGGTCGGTCCAAAGATGCATTTTCCTGCAACAACCAGCAATTAGGGACTTAATAGAAGACCCCGTTTCAAAAGACACCATATTACTTCTTTGGCGTTATAAAAATACACAACGTATTCATCTCCGGAATTGGGCGACTCTGACGAACTGCCCGATTCTTCTTTCGATGGTACTCTAGACTCTTCTTCGGTATCAGTCGATTGCGGAATTTGATAGGTTGGCCTTGAAAAAAGCAAAAAACCGTCAGAATACAATTTTTGATAAGACCGTCTAGAAAGGTTGCTTGCATAATATGGTGCGTGCAAACCTAACGAGCCGAGACAAAGACGATCGATTTCCTATAGGAATTTTGCCAATCAGGCTCGGCTCGATAGGTCTGGACGCTTAAAGAGACTGTTTGTTGCTTCAAACTTATTTCATAATTAGTTATACACACCAGGTCTTGCTAACTGCCCCTGAAGTGCTAGGATTCAAATCAATATGTTTATCTATCATGCTGTCAGTAGGATTATCCAAACTTGCTATCTGTCTAGTTACAGGAGTGTTACTATCTCGACTACTTCCACTACTACTGGAGGAATCACTACCACCACCTCCTTGTGAATCGATGTCATTAAAGCTTCGAACTCTAAGAACGTTGATGTCATCATCCACCTGCACAAGTAATGAAATTCCGAATCAGCAACATTATCATCAACTGTTGCAATATCATCACACGACTAACGGTTCCAACTGTTATCAATCACACGAAATATTACCTCACAAAATCCCTCACTGCTTACACTAGACCGGTTACCGTCCCTTTCGTTCAACTGGCTGATGTGAGCATGGGGAGCATACTCGACAGGATGAAGCGACATAACGTTCATAAATCCATATCGATGATTATGGAAAGAGTGATAATGATGTCGATGATGAGCGTGATGGTGCGAATGCTGAATCTGTCCACAATTTAACGCCGCGTTTGAAGAATTAACCTGTGCAACCTACAGATGAAAATTCAGTTAATTAACTCTAAAAAAAACTAGTGCGATTAATCCCACCTGGCTTTCGCCCCTGGTGCTTTCAGGACCGTGTCTAAAACACGTAAACGGACAATGGTACATGGGATTTATGTCTGAAGTGTACGTAATCCCAGGCATTGGATAATCATCCCAGTCTAAATAGCAGGCGTCAATTGCGGGCTTAAATCCGGTGAAAATTTCCAAATCGGCCTTTAGCGATGAATTCTTGTAGTAGTTAGACGCTGAAGAGTTGGTTGTATTTCGGCACTTTGAAACCTTCTCTAAAGTTTTCTGGTGCCACGATGAAAACTGAAGCAAAAACACTTTCGTCAAATAATTAATCGCCGCCGAGATTTTAATGCAGCAAATCCTATGCGGTGTTTGTGTGCAATTCATTAAAAAAATGTTGTCTCTTTAGATAATTTCTAAATTTTTCGAGTAGTTTACTCATGAAACACAAATATATATGTATACTTGCACATAAAGGCGCCCCTACATATATTTGTGTTGACACTATGAGCATTGGGTTTATCACCGGAAGGGAAACCCTATTTTCTTGGATCTACGTTTCCGCTATAAACAAGCCTTCATCAGGGCTCTACAAGGGAGACAGGCTAAAGTCAGCATAAAATTAAATTTTTATGTTTATCACAAACATCATTTATTAAGCTTATGTTTGATATCACTGTATCTTTTCTAGAGAACTGGCTCTGCTGACGGCTTAATTATAGCCGAAACGTAAGCCCATGGAAAACTTTTTTTCGCAATCGAACGTCAACCTATCCATCCAACACATATCCTGAATAATAGAGTGAATGTAAAATATAGAATTTATTAATATTTCGGCAATATTTTATAGGCTCAAACCTGCGTGTTCTGTGATAAAAAAGTAATTATAAATAAAAAATAAATATGTGTTTTCTGGCCCACGCAAAACGATTTGAGACGTTATAGATGTTTTATTCACAGCTCGTCATTTGCATTTTAGAAAATAACCATGTTTTTATTAGATTCACGAAACGAAACCATGCTTTCCGGCCAACCAAACACGCTAGCTGATTTTAAGCTTCAAAAAACGGCAAGGGCACATAATTTAAAAAATATCTTTAAAGTTTTCATTTGATTTGTGTGAAATGCATTTTTACAAATTGCGCCACTGATTACTCTTCAAGTTTTCATTTGATTTGGAAACTTAAATATCTGCTAGGTTCTTTTGTCTGAAGTCTGAATTAAAAGTGTATTTAAAAAACAAATTACTATCTGCTCGTGGGAGAAAAATGGCTGTTTACCTGGCTGTGAAACATGTCGCGCTCAGACGGCGCTAATTCCGGGTTCAAAGCAGCAAGTCGCCATAAAACAACAATTTCATCGCACAACGACGAGCCTGCATGCTGGGACGCGTGTGTGTTACTATTGATGTTGTTGTGTTTGCCGCCTCCTGGGCCCCCATGACTCGTACTGCCACTTAATAGGGCAACTTTTGTATTAAACCACCTGAAAATACCACTGTAACACGACGTTTAGAGGTAGTTTAGGATTTCCGTACCAAATAAGGACTTGTTCGCACGCCAAACATTCCTCGGTAATAATTTCAAGAAGAGGAACCGCGTTCCTATCGTTTCGTTTAAACATTTCTCTGACAATGCTTAGCAAATTCCACATGCCCTCTGGTTCCCTTCCTCTTAGGGGTCTTAACAGTGATGTCCATTCTGCGGCCGCCGGTGGAGCAACGTTGCTCAGATAGTTCACATCGCTGGAATTACAAAACCCATAAAATGCCTACTTGTAAATCGTTCCGAGTGGTCATACCTAAAAACCATCGGTGCTGGCACGCAAAACTTAATCAAAATCTTTTTAATGTTGTCATGTAAAGTTTTTTCATCCAAATACCAAGAGGTTTGGTCCATAGCAGACGCGCCGGCCGTTGGATCGGGCGCTCCACATACCGAATTTATGGCGGATGGCTGAGATCCGAGTAGTTCATCCAACAGCCTAAAATTCGTTGAAAATCAGCAACTTTCTTTCAATTTGCTAAATTATCACCAGTTACCTCTGAGCTGTTGGCAAAATCTGTTGCGGCAATTCACTGATGAGATATTGCGCGAACTTCTGCAGTTGTTCTCTATGTAATCGGGATAAAGACTCGGAAACTGGAGCCCGCAGAGTAACTAAATGGGGCTAATAAAAAAAACAGTAAAAAAATGTTTGGAAATACTATTTACAACATACCCAGTGGATTCTAGTCAGACACACAGCAACGATGTGAGAACACCAATAAGCTTGTGACTGGCAGGTGCAGTTACAGGAGGAAATTCGCCGGCGGTCAAAGGTGACCGCGACATTAAAAGTTGGAGTAGACGAGTTGTTGTATCGCACTTGCTGCACACTGGCAGATAAGTGGAAACCTTTCAAAAACAACGAATTTACTTTACAACTACTCGCAATTTGCAAATGTGCGATTCATACCTATTTGCAAAGGTTCTTTTACAAGATGGTTTCTATGCAAGTATTCCCCCCTGGAAAACTCATCTGCAGATCCGTTTGCCAAGCATGAATAAAGCCTACAACAAACATGTCAGGAACAGAGTAAATAACCACAAGAAAACAAAGAGCTACCTGATATCTTCTTCGTTATCAGGAAAACTCCAGTAGGCAATTCTGAGCTGCAGTTGCTCAGGCACTGGAGGATACACATGTTCTACCAGCTCGAAAGGTATATGGGATGCAACACATTTTGCGGCAAGTTCCGTTAATGATGGCACTAGAGGTGTGCCTTAGGCGGAAAAGTGTTTTTTAGCATGTGAAAAGCGTGTTTTGGCAGTACAAGCTAAGTTACCATCTGCGTTATTTCGTCCACCGCCATAAAATCCGTTCTGGCCATTTGTCGGCTTTTTCCATCCTCTCCAGTTATTGCAAACACTTTCAGGTTCGGAGCTCCAACTGCACATTGAATCCTCTTCGAACCGATCAGAATCATCAAAACTGTACCTAACAACCAACAAACAACATCTACATCGGGTGTGGGACAACACAAAATTGTCATCGATTTCATTTACTTCCTAAGAACCGATTGAAATTCAATAATGAAAATGGAGAAGAATTTTTGTAAATGCCTGAATATTTTTGCGGCCATCGGGTAGAGAACGATCTTTGTTTCTAAGCATGCATGCATGCATGCATGATCAGCACGAGGAACTCAGATTCCTCAGTATTCCACATACTTTGATGGTGCAAAAATAAACTTAAACGAATAATATATACATTAAGTAATAGTAAAATTTCCGAACAAGAGTTAATAAAGAGGTACTGAAGTATATTGCATATAATGACCGAACGGGTTTTGCGGTTGTTGTTAAGTGTGCGGCTTGATCCATTTATTCGCCTGTGAAATTAGGACTAAAACCGGGTAGGGATGTTGATGATCGTTACTTTCTGAGACTTCCAAACTTCTGCTCAATGTCTTGCTTAACACCACGCAAAATTTATATTTGGGAAAATTGGGACTCCATAATTTTTGGGATCTGCCTATTCAAGTCAATCACTGGTTAATTTTGTGATGCAAATCTTGCAAAATTTTCAATTCTCTATCCAACGATGCTAAAACGAATTCTGTGGCTCAAATGGGGCTTGAGAAACTTTCGGTTTTGCAACTCAAAAAAACAAGCAAATCCAAAACTTTTTGAAACCAAGACTTTTTTGAGAAAACTGCCAACAATTCCTTATCAATGGTACACTTTCTAAAAAGGCGGTTTAGTTCTATCTGGATGGTGTAAAAATGAGGGTTTTTGCTCATTTTGCTTCCGAGAAATGAGCAAAAACTAGACGGAAAACATAAAATTTTGGTATAATCTTGCACCTAAGTGTCTGATATTCAAATTTCGCGTTCTGGGTCAAAACTACTCGAATTTCCTCGTCATGTTGTTATGACTGAATCGAATTTTCTATCCAACGATGCCAAAACGAATTCTGTGGCTGAAATTATTCTTGAGAAACTTCGAAAAAAGCAGCGTCATGTTTGTGTCGATTTTTTAAGTCAAAAAAACCTCGTAAATCTAAAACTTTGAAATCAAGACTGTAGTCGGTTTTGTGGTTATTATTATTGGTGCCACAAAAGTGACATTATTGGTGACACAAACGTATCGAATTGAAATTGGAATTTATTTTTTAAATAAATAAAGAACGGAAATTCTGATAAACATTTGTAAAGCGCAACGATATGAATGAGAACGGATTAACGGCTAGTCAGTGCTGGATAGAGCCTTAAAATGTCCACTTTTATTATACAGGGTGTCCCGTAAGCACATGATCAAAAGGGTACTGCGATATTTTTCGGATCAAAAGAAGACGATCTGATCTAACTTTTATTAACAAAGAATGTCTCGCTCCTCTGCTATTGATGGTCAAAGTTCTTCAAAAAATTTACCTTTGTTGAAATATCGGGATAATTTTTTTTTAACTTTATTTGTTGCAATCAACAATCTGCTAATGTTACAGAACATTAAGAAGATTTTTTTTACAATAGTCACATTCACTAGTCGACCCAGCAGCTGTTCTGTGTTGCACTCGTAGATGTTAATGTTAATGGATTGTATTTAAAGGAATCTTTCCGGTAGATCGATCGGTAAGGCTTCCTTGAGTCGTCGTATTGGCATGTTATCTAATAGGTGAGCAGCAAGTGGGTTTGGATGTCTTCCAATTCTGGTGTGGTATCTTGTTGATTTTTGGCTTATCTCATGGCGGATGGTAGAGACTTTCAGATCGTTGTGGATGGTGTTTATTATTTATTTATTACTTACATTATTATTTACATACCATGGTGCGTTGACTATTTGTCTTAACGTTTTGGACTGATATCTCTGCAGTATTTCGATATTACTGGTGCTAGCTGTTCCCCATAGCTCTATACCATAGCTCCATATTGGTTTTAGTACCGTTTTGTATAATAAGATCTTGTTTTCATGACTAAGCTTAGACCTTCTACCTATCAACCAATGCATCTTCCTTGTTTTTATTTCCAATTCTTTTCTTTTCTTCTGGATGTGCATTTTCCAGGTGAGTCTTCTATCCAGGTGCATCCCCAGATATCTTGCATGATTGGCAGTTGAGATAGGGGTGTTGTTGATTTTTATAGGAGGACATGATCCTCTTCTTAAAGCGTATAGCACCTGCGTGCACTTTTCCTCGTTGATATTAATTTTCCATTTGGCCATCCATTTCTCAACTTCGTCAACATGTCCTTGGAGTGTCTCAGCTACAGATCCCTGCGGAACTCCCGAGCTTATGCTAAAGAAGTTTGAGTAATTCTCATTTACTTTTACTTGAGCAATTCTGTTATAGAGATAAGATTGGACTAATAGATAAAACTGCGGAAACCATTTTTTTGTTTTGTACAAGAGGCCTTTGTGCCAGACCTTGTCAAAAGCTTGTCTAATATCCAGATATACAGCTGGACAGTATGCTTTTTCCTCAAAGCTTCCTCTTATTTTGTTAATGACTCTATGGATTTGATCCATTGTCGTGTGACCGCATCTGAATCCAAATTGGTGATCCGGAATTAGTTTTAGGAAATTTTCACGTTCTTGTAGTCGTGCTAGAAGGACTTTTTCAAAAACTTTTGAGAGCAGTGGGAGTAGGCTTATTGGTCTGTACGATTCAGGTTTAGTGTTGTCTTTTCCTGGTTTTAGTACCATTAATATGTTGGATACTTTCCATTGGTTTGATATGTAGGTTGTTCTAAAAATAGAATTGAATATTTGATTAATGTAGGTTATTGCTTTCCTATTTAAGTTTTTCAGAATTTCTGCCGTGATTAAGTCATGGCCTGGTGCTTTCTTGTTTTTTAGCGACATGATTATGTTTTTTACTTCCCCTGGGCTTGACAGTTTTAAAGTTTTATCCATTGGTAGTGGGGACTGCAAGAATGTGTTAATTGGTCCTCCCACTCATCATTTGTATCATTTTGTTCAGATTCATAGATTTTTGCGAGGTGGCAGGCAAGTAATTCAGCTTTTTCTCTATCACTTCTCGCCCATCCTTGTGTAGTTTTAATCGGAGGGATTTGAATTTGCGGTCTGTTAAATTTTTTGGTAACTTTCCATAGGGAGTAGGTGTGATTTGGTCCCGGTGAAAGGTTGGTGAGAAAATCTTGGAATTCTTTATTTTTGAATTCTTTGAGTGTGCGCTTTAATTGCCTTGAGATTGCGTTAAGGTTTGCTTTATCTTGGGTCTTCTGTTGTTTTGCCATTCTTTCCTCTTTCTTCTTTTTTCTCGAATTAGTTTCATGATTCTGCTTGGATATAAATACTGATTATTGGTGTTCAGGTTTGGAGTAGCCTTAGTTGCTGCCTCTTGTATATGTCTGTTTAGTACCTACTTCGATTGCAGATTCAATATCTTCTTGGTCTTTAAGCTTCATATTGAGGCTAATTTTGTGTTCCAGATGTCGTCTAAATGATTCCCAGTTTGTTTTTGAGTATCATAACCGAGGTGGATTTTGTTTAAATAGCAGCCTACTGCTAATGAATAATTCTATTGCAGAATGGTCCGACGACAATTCGTAATTAGGTTTTGTGTGGCAGTAGGCACTATTCAGTCCTGAGCTTACAAAAAAATCTAGAAGTCAGGGATTTTATTCAGATCAGTTGGCCAGTAGGTAGGATGTCCAGTAGATATTGTTGCGAGGTTACAATTTATTATGTAGGTGTTAAGCACTCTTCCTCTGGTTGTGGTTAGTCTTGAGCCCCAAGCCGATTTGCATTATAATCTCCTCCGGCAATAAACTTTTTTCCCGGTGTTTTGAAGAAATTATGTAACCCTTCATGACTGAGCGAGTGTTTAGGAGGACCATATTTAGCTGAGATAGCAATTTTACCCATCGTTGTTTCAGTCTTAACAGTAGTGGCTTGTAGATAGTATCGTTGATATTTTTCCATTTCATTATGATTGATGTTTTTAATTATCACTGCTGTTCCTCCATGGGCTTTTCCGTCTGGATGCTGAGTGTCATAAACTGTGTAACCTTTGATTTTAAAATAGGACTTTGTTGTAAAGTGGGTTTCTGATATAAGCAAGATGTCTATATTATTTGTTTTTAGGAATAGCTCAATTTCTTGGCGATGTTGCCCCAGTCCATTGGCATTCCATGACTATATGCATATGCATTGTATTATGGTCCTTTGCAGAATTTATTTATGAGTGTCGTAATTAGATTGAGCAGTGTTGAAAGCTGTTCAGCTTGTTTAGTCAATATATTTTCAAGTCTGGCAAAAGCTTGTGATTCATAATTTGAATTTGGTAAGTGGTTTTCATTTGTGGCATTTTCTGAAGTATTTCCTTGTAGTACTTGCGAGTAGGATGTTCGAGTCCTCGGGTTTCTTGGTGCTGGATTGTTGATTATTTCAATGTCTGTCTGAGATAGGTTATTTCCTGCGGTGTTGCTTGTTGGGCTTCTTATTTGAGTTGGTTGATTTTCCATATTTCCATTTTGGTTCCTGCATTTCCGTATTTCTGTGTATACTGTGCAACCCTTGTAATGGGCCGGGTGATGGCCACTGCATAATACGCATGTGGCTGGAAGTTCCCTGCTTTTGGAGCAGTTGGTGGTATCGTGATCTCCTGAGCATTTGACACATCTGTGTGACCATATCGCTGGCATCGAGTGCATTGTATTATTTGATTAGTTTTCCTTGGTGGCTCTATAGTAACGGAGGCTCCTACTAGATTTGTTATTTTGTAGATCTCTTGATTGTTTCCCCTCGGTTCCAAGTCTACAAAGAATAGAGGCATTCCTTTCTTTGTCGTTTTGTTTATTGCATTAATTAAATTTCTGACAATATGTCCGTGTTGCTCAATGTTATTTTTTAGCTCTTTAATAGATGTTGTGGGATGTAAATTCCTGATAACTATACGATACTTCTTCTTCTTGCTTTAATTGGTATGTATGAAAAGAGGATTTAGTATAATTTAGGTAGTGAATTATTTTCCTATAAGTATCGATTGACAATGAGTTTAGTTTAATTTGGTTATTGCTTATGGTTTTGTAGGTCAAGTCTTAGAGATTTAACGCTCCTAAATCGTTGAGAAAGACATTTATGTTCGTTATGTCCGGGATAAAGATAGGTGGTGGTTTGTGCTTTTGTGGTGTTTCTTCATCTGGTTGGGTTGACAGTGGCTGGAAGCGATTTGCTTGTTCGATTGTAAATGAGGAATTTCTTCTGTCTTCTGTTGGACTATCGGATTGTCTAAGGCGTTTTTTAAGCTGTACTATTTGCCATTCATTTGCACTGTTTTAGCTTCGAGTGATAATTTTTGGAGGGATTTTTTTGAGGTATGGGTCTGTTTCAATACCTCTTCCTTCCTAGGGGGAATTATCTAACGTCTCTTCGTTACTCATGATTTTCTTTAAACCAACGGTATTATCTACCGTGGTTTTGTCGTTTTGATTTTACTCAATTTTTCAAATTTTAACTTGTTACAGTTTACAAACAATTAATGTTTGGTAAAAAAAAATATGATGAAGAATTCACTGCTCTCGCTCACACGTCTGTTCAGTACGACTAGCTAAACACGAATATCGGGAGAATGGTTCGATGTATTTTGGCGAAACTCGCTGTGAATTTGTTCTTATGTAAGACTTATATTTTGATGAAACAATCGAGTTCATCCGTTTAGGGCAAGTGGTGAATTCTTGAGTGTCGTGGCTACAAAAACTACCAGAACTTTTTATTTGGAGGATGAAATCAACTGATTTTTTTTTTGGTTGATGCGCTAATCAGTTATTCACAATTTTGTGCTCTTTGTAAAATATTGTAGCATTCATAGTTTTTGTGAAAAAAATATTTCTGTTTTCTTGCCACATAACAATGTGAGAAATTAACTGCCAATATCGTGATACGAGGCATAAATTAATTGTCAATCAATCTCACAAATTCGTTTCGAAGGACCTTTTCCAATGAAGAAGTGACCGACATGGTCAAAGTATTAGAGTTTTGCGAAGACAACTTGGGTGAAAGCGTAGGTACGCGTTTACGAGGCGCATATTTGCAGTTAATGTCCAACACTGTTAAGTGGAAAGACAACATATTTTTTTGCGCAAAAACTATAAACGCTACAATATTTTACAAAGAGTACAAATGGTGAATAAATGATTAATACATCAACCAAAAAAAAAAAAGATTTTATTCCACCCACCAAATATAAAGTTCTGATAGTTTTTGTACCACGCCACTCAAGAATTCACCACTTGTCCTAAACGGCTGAACTCGATTGATTGACCAAAATATGAATCTTACATAAGAACAAATTCACAGCGAGTTTCACCAAAATACATCGAATCATTCTCCTGATATTTGAAAAAAAAAAAAATTTTTTTGAAGAACTTTGACCATCAATAGCAGAGGACCGAGACATTCTTTGTTAATAAAAGTTAGGTCAGATCGTCGTCTTTTGATCCGAAAAATATCGCAGTACCCTTTTGATCATGTGCTTACGGGACACCCTGTATAAAACCTCAATTTAGGAACGGTTCGGGTTTTCATGCAAAATACGACAAATCAAAAGTTAAGAGTGTCATAAAAACCGGTCTTAATCTTTGGCTCATATTTGAGCCAATTGATATATTTTTTTATAGTAAAATAAGCACTATTTAACTATTTACCTGTCCCCAGCTATATTCTCAGCTCGATCATCCCACTCGATATCATCCTCCAGGTCTTGTTGGCCCTGAGGGCCAACTTGGGCACTTCGTCGCGCCAGTATGAATATCAAACTATAAAAAAACCCATTTAGCAACCCAATCTTCATGTGTTTATAATAAAAATGTTTAACAATAATTGACCTTAGAAATCGTTGTTTTCAAAACATAAACGTATTTAATAAACAGAACCAAATGAGCATGTACAAAGTGTATAATAAACAATAACTGGAAAAACTCTCTAAATAACTTGAGCTTGAAATACGTTAAATTATTCTCAACAATTAAATGCATAAACCGAGCCAGTAGGAATTAAAACGAATCGTCTAACTGTTGGCCAGTCGATAAATGTTCATATCTTTGCACATAATGAGCAGCGATAAAGGTATTGACCTGCAGAAATTAGGAACTGTTGAAAAAACAACAAGTAACTTTTATACTGCAGGTAGGTATCATTTTCTGTTTTTCAAGGCTGGACATTCAACCTACTGCCTCTTTGTCCGTCTCAGAATATGCGACCACTTAATTTCCGAGCATAAAAATGAAATAAATAATAATCGAAGAGGTTTAAATATGCAGATTTGTGACTAGATAGATTGAAAGCTTGACAACTTATCCACAAAGTAGATACAAATAGGGCAATTCTACCATAAAATGTAACTGGAAAATAGACCCGAAACATAAAAAAACTAGTCTAATTAAGTTTAATCGTTAGTACACGTCAATATTTGCCAGGAATGAGGGATGGAAATCAACAAATTATGAATTAATGATCAAATAGGTACCTAACAACCCCCTAACAGGACAAAGGATCACTGTCACAAAGTGGAATTGAACCATTAATTTGGGCTCGGATGAGCCCTTTAACTAAACATTGTTAAATCCATAAATAAACACGATCACACAACAACGTAGACTTGGGAGTTTCACTTATAAAATCTAAAAAGGAGTAATTTTCTACTGCCCGACCTCCCTTATTAAACGACAACAAACATGGCGAAGCTCCAACTCCTGTCAGATAAAGTAGTTTCTACTTTCCAATGCCCAGCTGGGAAAACCATCAGCCAATCGGGCAATGTGGCAAAAGAGGCCAGTATATCATTTTAAAAACTAATATTTAAACCAGAAAAAGCTAGTGCTGAAGCTATAAGTGCGAGCGAAGACAGCTAAGCACAACATATTTTTTTGGAGAAAATAACAAAATTCTCAGTCCAGTACTAAAAAACTTCGTCAAAGACCACAGAATAACCCCCTTATTTCGCCTCTAAGCTATGACAGGTTTAATGACTTTTGCTGCTCTAACCTCAAAAAGAGTTGTTTATCGAGTAGCAATCACCAGGCCAATCCAACTTTCTGCAATTACCGTAAAGTACTTAAACAAATGAGAAGAGAATGAGTCCATCAAAGGGACCAGCTCAAATAGACTATGACGATCCAAAATACAGAATTACGCCTGTTCAACAAGCTGCGGCTTCGTGTACTGGGGCACTTTTAACCTCCGTTATAAGTAAGTTGATTGAAGACAAAACCTTTACTAATATGCCGCAGTTGAAGCCAGAGTTCAAATATATGGTTCAATCAGGTTCAATGTTTTGGTAAATTATAAACGTTTACAGTGACTCCTTTGGATGTAGTGAAAATTCGAATGCAGGCCCAACAGAAAGCCACGAATTCATGCTTTTTGTATTGCAATGGGTTAATGGATCATATTTGTAGTTGTCAACCGATGGACCCGAAAAACCCTTGGTATAAGAGACCTAGTCAGTTTAGTGGGACGTTGGTATGTTTTTAGATATTAAGCGGAATCGGGGTAAAAATCGCTTTAAAGCTCAAGAGAAGACCGAAAAAGGTTCTCTTGTCAAGCAAAATCGAACACCCCAGAAACCACCACAGGGGCTTAGTATTGTCATTGACTTTCTGATTAATGAATGTGGGAGTAACATCGAACACAGTAAAACATTTAAAAAATCAGAAAGCCATCAAGGAAAGCAAAATCTTCAGCAAAAAATTGGCTAATTGGGTAATAAAACGCGAATTTAATCGAGCAGATTAAGGCAAATCAACCGAACAGTCAAACGTTAAAGAAAAACTGTTGAAAATAACCAAAGTTACTCAATCTTTACCCTAAAAAAATGGTTGTTTATGTCCCATTAACAGAGTGTCTTGAAGCATATGATCAAAAGGGGCTGCAGCATTCTTTGACTGAAAACAAGACGATCTGACTTAAGTTTTCGTAAGAAAATATGTTTGGATCTTATGCTATTGATGGTTAAAGTTCTGCAAAAAAAGTTTTTTGAAATATCGGGAAAATGATCCTATGGATTTTAATGAAACTCGCTATGAATTTGTTCTTATGTGAGACTCATATTTTAGTGAAACAACTGAGTTCATTCGCTTTGAGCAACTGGTGAATTATTCAGTGTTTTGGTACAAAAACTACCAGAACTCTTTATGTGGTAGCTGGAATCAACTAATTTTATGAAATCTAAATTTTTGCCAACCGCGCAAATAACCATCAACTGCCCTCTCCCTTAAAAATACCCCATTTTCCATTGAGAGCCGAAAGCAATATAAAATTGTTTGCCGTATCCCAGATACTTTAAGCTCAACATTCTGAAAATTTCATTCAAATCCTATGTAGGTAATCCTGATTTTTGCCAACCTTGTGATGCGTAAAACTAAACATTTACACTCAGCTCTGTGCTCTTTTTTTAAATTTGTAATTTTCAATCCAGAGCCGGTAGCAACCTAAAATTCGCTCTCCTTATAAAAGAGACTTGAAGCTAAAAATACCTTCAACATAGCACTAAAATTGTATAAAATCCTGACTTTGTTTAAGCCTGCAAATGATGGGTCAAAAATTGTCATTTACGCTCAACTGCTCTGCTTTGCAAATTTAGAATTTCCCGTCCAGAGCCGGTACAAACTTGACATTTGCTTACCGTATAGAGGATAATTTGGCGCAAACATGTGACAAATTTCAGAAGTTGTGCAGAATCTTTATTTGTCTAGCCTGTAAATAGTGCGCCAAACGTAAATATTTGCACGCAACTACAGGTGCGTGTTCAAAAATTTGGAACTTTAATTTGCAAAAGGTAACGATGAAATTCACCCACCCTATAGAACTTATTTACAAGTATTAATCCTGGAAATTGCAGCCAAATCGTACAAAACTCTGATTTTTTCCAGCTGTTTAAATCATGCAACAAGAATTTGTTATTATTAAAAATCTCACCTAAAATCCTTCCGAACTTGCGATCACCTGGCAATATTTTCGTTGCGTTTCTTGATTCTTCTTGTTGAACAGGCTAAAAGCTGAATTGTTCTAAATAACTGAAATTAACATAACCTGAGCTCAATAGCTGAGGAGGTCGATATTTTTTTAAATAAAAGTTGGGTCAGATTGTCTGATTTTGAACAAATAAATGTCGCACTACTCTTTTGATATTGTGCTTACGGAACACATGCATCTGATGGAATTTTTAACTGAGCTTAAACAATTCTATGCGATGGTTACTAAATTTCGTGTATTTCCAGTCACAGCCTGTATAATTAGGTTACAGCCATAAAACATAAAATGTTTCACAATGTTCAAACAGGATTTTTCCTTCAGGACGCTTTTGTGCAAATTGGGAGAGCTGAGGGCGTCACCTCACTGTGGAGTGGACTGAGTCCCACTTTAGTATTATCCATTCCTGCCACAATATGTTACTTTGTTACGTATGAGCAACTTAGGCTGAAATTAAAGGCGAAATATAACAGTAATAAGTTGCCGAATGAATCAGCCAGACAGCCTTTCTGGATCCCGCTTGTGTCTGGTGCAAGTGCTAGGGTACTATCGGTTACCCTTGTTAATCCTTTAGAACTAATACGGACCAAGATGCAGTCGCAAAAGCTAAGTTATTTAGGTATGCTTTGAAATATTGCGCTCCGGGCTTGGAAAGAAACCCGTTTTGCCCTATTTGTAGAATTAGGAGAAGCGTTAAAAAATTTAGTTAGGACGGATGGTTACAAGGGACTGTGGAGAGGAGTATTCCCCACACTTTTACGAGATGTTCCATTCTCAGCTATTTACTGGATGAGTTATGAGTCTATTAAAAGTTACATGGGGTGCGATCATCCATCATTTCGCCAGAGTTTTATTGGAGGCGCAATATCTGGCAGCGTAAGCAAAATCAGCATTCACGTGAAAAATCCTCCATGGATCTTCAATTTACTTACAGATAGCTGCTACAATTACAGTTCCGTTCGATGTGGTAAAAACCCATCAGCAAATCGAGTTTGGTTCCGATTTCTTTAGCGAGAATGGTAAGATTTTTAGATGGTGCAAGTGGAAAGAGCTTGTGCTACAAAGGGACGAGTCATAGATCTGGTGGGGTTTGTCTCTTTCTAATACAAGCTTTCGGTGTTTGCGCCTTGTTCCACTCATTATGGTTGAACAAGCCACAGATATCCTTCCATATAAAATGTTGTAATTCCAGGCAAACCTGCAAAGAGACAACGCAGGTCAACCGCTATGGTGTTTCGCGATATTTACAGTCAATATGGGGTGCGAGGTTTATATACTGGCTTAACCCCGCGACTAATAAAAGTCGCTCCAGCTTGCGCCATTATGATATCATCCTTCGAGTATGGAAAAGTGTTTTTCAACAGGTTAGCCAATCAATCCGAGTTTAATGATTTAGATGGTATATGACGCGAATTAATTATGCAGTTTTTCGAATCAGTCGCGCACTATTATGCCAACAAATCGAAAATGTTTTCTTTCCCCTATCAACCTGATGAAATAAAATTAATCAAATTAACTAAACGGTTTTTTTGGTTTGACCCGCGGTGGATTTATGTAGGACATAATCTGAACAGCAACATTTTCAGGCCCAAAACGAAACCCGAGGATAAGATGGTGGCTTTGTATAATATAGATCAGTTACTACAGACAACCTCGAGTGCCCAAAACATGTATTATGAGTAAAGGGGTTATTGATATATTTGATGTCCGATTTTCGATTATTTATGTTCAATTTCCCTTCCGGTATTAAGACTTTGTAGTTGATTAAGTACGGGCTCGGAATGTTAGATGAGGTTTATTTTTGGATACCTCGATTTGTTCACATATCCTTTGGTACTCCATAAACGGTAGGAAATCCCCAATGTATGCGTTTCACTTTATTATGAGAATTCGCAAAATTTCCTTCCGTTGAGTTCAGCTTCACCAAAACGTTTTCCAATTCAGCTCATATGTTTTTAGTTAATGTGGATTTTAGTATAAATTTCCGTTAATTTCTTCAAAATTTGAACAAAGCTAGGATTATCCATAACTAAACAATCCTTTTCAGTCAAGTTCAACCTACTAACTGGCTTTAGAGGCTTTTGAGCTTAGTTTTCATATTTTTAAACGCTCTCCTTACAGTTCTCGGTTTATGGAATTTGAGATTTGCTGTTGAAACTTTAATAGGATTTTTCTATTATACAGGGTGTCCCGTAAGCTCATGATCAGGGTACTGCGATATTTTTGGACCAAAAGAAGACCATCTGATCTAACTTTTATTAACGAAAAATGTCTGGATCCTCTCCTATTGATGGTCAAAGTTCTTCAAAAAATTTATCTTTTTCGAAATATAGGAAGTTTGGTACAATGTATTTTAGTGAAACTAGCTGTGAATTTGTTCTTATGTAAGAATCATATTTTGATGAAACAATCGAGTTCACCCGTTTTGGACAAGTGGTGAATTCTTGAGTGTCCTGGTACAAAAAGTACCAGAAGTTTTTAGTTGGAGGATGAAATCAACTCATTTTTATATGCGCCGTGTAAACGCGTACGCTTTCACGCAAGTTGTCTTCGCAAAACCCTAATACTTTGACCATGTTGGTCACTTCTTCATTAGAAAAGCTCATTCAAAACGAATTTGTGAGATTGATTGAAAATGATTTTATTATGCCTCGTATCACGATATTTGCAGTTAATGTCTAACGCAAGTCTTTTCGCAAAAACTATGAATGGTACAAGATTTTACAAAAAGCACAAAATTGTGAATACATGATTAGTGCATCAACCTAAGATAATGAGTTGATTTTATCTTCCAACTAAAGGGTTCTGGTAGTTTTTGTACCACGACACTCAGGAATTCACCACTTGTCCAAAACGGCTGAACTCGATTGTTTCATCAAAATATGAGTTACATAAAACAAATTCACGCGAGTTTCACCAAAATACATCGTACCTTTCTCCTGATATTTCAAAAGAGGTCAATTTTTTTAAGAAGTTTGACCATCAATAGCAGAGGAGCCAGACATTTTTTGTTAGTAAAAGTTAGGTCAGATCGTCTTCTCGTCGTCCAAAGAATGTCGCAGTACCCTTTTGATCATGAGCTTACGGGACACCCTGTATACAACTTTGCGTACTTTAAGGCTAAGTATATTTGAGCAGTAAGAATATATTTAAATACAACCAAGAGGTTGGATCCTAAATATTTGCTTATGTGTATTATTATTATTATTATTATTTCTAATTATCGTTTAATTTTTAAATAAACTGGGGTTTATTTAAAATTTAATTTAGTTGGTTTCTTTATAGTGTAATTATCGATTCTTTAATGAGCATTTAGAAAAAATCTGCGACTTTTAGTAATTAGCAAAAAAATTCAAATCAAGCGAATCTTTCTTTACCCATCGCAGAATCGTTTGGAATAAATGCAGTTGTTGAATGTGTTTGTGGCGCTCTTGAAACCAAATTCGGTCCATATCAAAATTTTAACAAAACGACTGTTTTTAGATCTCATTTTCAAGACTCTGAACCCAATCCAGTTATAACAGAAATTCCTTTTGATGGCCTGTTAGAAATGAACCATTTATTGGCTATTATTGTTTGAGCTCATATGTTAAGTGTATCTACTGGTAGCTGCTGTATGGGAATAAGGTTCTAATGATTCAATTTTTTTGTCTTTATAAATCAATTGATTTGGTTTATTCAAGTTTGTACATGCATTTGCAATAAAAAAGTATTTAAAGTTAGTTTTTTATTGACTGGTCACGTGAAAGATAAAAAAGACGCAATGAAATGAAATTATTCCGCATCGAGCATAAAAAATATACGCAGTGTTCCATCGCTGAACAAAAAATATGCAGGTTTGCCAATGTACAAAAATAAGAAATCTTCATGCACTTCTACTGGTAACGTGTGGGGCTTATTTCATATTCTGTTTGTCTGTGTTTGGGACGAAGCGTAGTAGAATTAGGGAAGCTGAAAAATGGCCTCTTTTATGCATGCGTTCTAATCGAGTTTTCGTTCATACTTAAGATGAGAGATCCGAAGAACAAAAATGGTGCTCTGCAGCTGAAATTGAGCAGAATCGGCAAAAGCATGTTGCCGCAAACTGTTAAACATCGGCCGACGAATAGCACGCATGAAAGCGCCATGGCTCTGGAATGAATAATTATTTAAATGTAGGTAGGTACATCTGGATCGGCAATTTTGAGTAATTTACCTTAAAGTAGTTGGGAAAAGAACCACGGCCACAGTGAGGAAAACATCAAAACCTATATCGGAAGTTGTAAGAAATACGGAGCTGAGCGCCAAAGTGGTGAGAGTGTTAGATGACCACGCCAGACAACCGATTGAAACAGCTGCTAACAATCCTAAGACCACTGGAAAAAAAAATTGAAAAATTCCAATTTTCGCGTAAACGTTCCAGTTCTCACGCAACAATCGCCTGGAGCCAAGAAGATTGATCAACGTTCCACACAGCGTATACCCGAAGAGTCTTACACCTGCTATGGTCATTGAGTTCAAATATACCAGGAAATTGCCGTCTAAATTCTGCAAAAATATCAATCTAAGCGTCTTTCCCGACTTCCATACCCCATAAGTTGAGTACAGTGTAAGTTCGTAAGTTTTTTTACCACTGTACAGCCGTCGTTTTGCTGCGCCCCAGTTGAAGTCTTCAGAATATTGCAAAGATCTGTGGATTGTCCATCATGAGCCACTTGATATTCGTGCGCCGCTTGGAATATTTGCGGCATAAACAATTGCATGCTGTTAGTGCTAAAAGAGAAAAAGCACTTACAAGAATTTCAGAGGTTTGATTGGCAACCCCACCCGATAAGAATCAGGCCTTCGATTGCGCCAGCCAGCATCAGTTTTCCCCGGTACTTCTGGCCGAATAATGGCGCTATTTGCTTCCAGATCAACGAGAAGAACCCTGATTTTTTTCCCGACTGCATTGGCTTGTTAAGCACGATTTCTTCTATTAGTTGATTCACCTGAATGTGCATTATGTTTGTTATAATTGGCTTGTTTTTTAAGTGTGAAACTCACTGGATATGCCATGGTCGGGTCCCTGATGTTGATTTTGTGCATTTTGCTGAAAAGCCTCAGTGCCTCCTCGTTCTTTCCACTGCTCATGAGGAATTTGGGAGTTTCGGGCAGAAAGTAAAAGGCTACCATGGATATTATCGAATTTGCGCCACTGATGAGCAACAGCAAGTTCCAAGCTCGAAACCCTTAAGACAACAGAACAATAAACTAACTCAATGAACGGAACTGTTGCTTCTGGCGCACGTTTCGTTTACATCTGCGGCAATCATTTGCAGAGGCGCAACATTGCGAATTAACTAACTTGATTGAGTTGGGTTTGGTTTAAAATTGGGTGAAACTCAGACACCCTGTATAGGAACGCCTTGAAGTAAACTAGACATGAATAGGACGAGAAGATAAGAAAAAGGTGAGGTTGAAAAGAAACCGATAAATATAATAAGGCAATAAGTACATTTGAAATGAAGTTGAATGCAAAAAACCCAAAAAGATAAAAAGGCGCTAGAAACATCGAAGTTTTGATCGTTTTTTGAGAGTTCAGAGAGATGTTGACAAAACAGGCAGGCAACCCTGCACGGCGTAGGAATACGACAAAGACACGCTTGTGGTTGTGTAGAGCCACAAATATATCAGAGTGAGATAACACACATCTGCGATTGGTTCCAAGTTTCACAATGTTTCTTAAAATTAATGGATCTTACTTATGAACGAGACGCTGAAGTGCAGATTCATTGGTAGGATGGCTGATGAGAGTAGAGGTAGTAAAATGTGTCCACAAGAATAAATAAATCCGATAATCATTTGAACTCGTCCTCGATACTCTGTGGAGTGAAACTCCAATATGTAGGTAATCATGGCGGCATATAAACTTCCGGATCTGCACAAAAATGTTTGCGGTGAGTTAAGTGAAACCGAAATCAATGGATCGGTTTACATTATACCACCAAAGAAACAGAACAGCGAGAGAAAAGCAAAGTTGCTCGATACACTTTTGCCTAGAATCACTAAGGTTTCAATGCAAAAGCCTAGAAACAGAACTTTTCTTCTGCCCACTGTATCTAGCAGGTAACCGCTGATGAATCCTGATGATAGCATTCCTAAAACAGAAACGGTGAAAACGCGTAAATATTTTGACTGGGTGTTACCAAAGAATGGCATGGAATTTAGCAGGCTTTTCTGGGTATCATCCAGCCCCAGATCGCAGGCTGCAGCAGGAATAATGAAGGAAACCAAGTTGGAATCGCACTGCAAGCACCAGAATACCGGGACGCTTAACATGATCAGAATAATGTTGAACAGACCGAATTTAGTCGCTGCTATGGCGGTTTCAAACTCGGCGGGCAGATCCTCTATTAAAAATAATGTTGGCTCTAAATCCTTGATGAGGCAGGCGAAAAGTCAGGAACTTACCCTTTTCAATTAGGGTACTAATTGGCTTTGTTGCCACCGGCATGTTTATGGTAGGCTGCGGATCTACTAATGAATCTTTCGAGTTTCTGACTAAATAATTGCTGGGGTTAAGAACATATTTTTTTGTAATCTTAAGCAAATTTTGGCAAAGCCTCCAGTTGAAATGAGGAGTTGTTTTTTGTATGTTCTGGTATTATGGAATCCTACACTCAGTGCTTGTTATCTCTCTTGAAGGAAAATGTTTGCGCTTGTAAGCTGCTGAGTTAATCAAGAAAAAAACGCTTTGTTTCAGTAGTTATTGAAAAGTAACTGCGATTTCCGAATTTCCATTAGTGCCGGTTTTTTAAGTTTAGGCGCAAAAATTTTATTTAACTTCCTCATGGGGGAAGCAAAAAATTATGTCTGCAAGTGAGTGAACGACTGTAAAATGCGCATACAATGAGCAAACGAAAAACTCGGATTCTATTTTAAAGTTATGGTTTATCATTGTTTGCTGGCTTTATTTTACGCAGATTTGGAAAAGTTGCCAGCTGGTTTTCATGTTCTGGTTTCAGTTAAATCTGTTCATTGTGGCCAATATTTTGAATACCCGGTTTTGCTAAATACGTAAAAAAGTATTTGTTTATAGCGTAAGCTTAAGCTAACAAAGTGCTCTTGTTTGACGTCAAAAATGAAGCATTGTGGTTCCTAAAAAAATATAAAGAAAATCTGTTTAATCGCCCCCATTTCTGTAAATGGTGTTTTTATTGGACAAACTACTGAGCGTTCCAGATTTCTTTTTCCATCAAAACCGCTTGCTTGTATCAGATTTTTCAAGGGTTTGTTAAAAGTGAGTAGAAGACCCATATACAGTGTTGGGCAAAAATTGATTTTTATTAAAAAAATAAAAAATCACTGATTTATTTAAATTAATCAAAAAAATCATGATTTTTTTATTTTTTTTTAGTTTTAAAGTGTTGCCGAGAATGCAATTGTTGCCGAGAAGATTCAAGCTAAGTTGAACCGATTCAATACTTGTCCGAACGCATTTTCTACGGAAAATTCGCACGTTGCCCGGCGTAATCTATAAATGCCGTCGCCTTTCTTCGGTCTTATTCATCACCATCAGCTTTCGTCAGATGAACAACAGCTCTCCAAGCGATCCACGTTTTGACTGTTTCCTTATTTTTTACAAAAAGTGCTTCACACTCGCGATCCAACCTCGAGGTTGAAGCTTCACAAAGTGTGTATTTTTGCCCTCCCCCAGACCAAGAAAGAAATTCGAGCTCGTGTCTCCCTCAGAGGCACGTGCAGGTCCCCCCTTTCGGGCTCCGGTAAGCCCCCCAGTGCAGTGCCGTTCAGGATAGTGTTCCTGAGCGTTATTTGTGATCGACGTTGCCAGCGCTTGAAATACCAGTAGCTCCTTCCTCCACGCAACTTCAATTTTCAATATGAGCTTTCGCGAGCGGAGCCCTTCAGGGTCCGAAAGCGAAGACTCGAACGTGTCAGAAACGGAACAAGGTAAGCCTGCAAGACGCCCTCCCCAAAAACCCCGCACCCTGCTTTCATTCAAAGCCAA